TTTTAATTTAAGTTAATAAATGGGAGAATCTTAATTAGAGAGTTTACAGTGCTTATAAATTTAAAAATTGATTCAACTTAAATAAGTGATAAAATTTTATTATTTAAAATATAGTAACATAAAATAATGTGTACTAGATGGTCAGGATAGATTCTTAAAAAATTATTGTTTTTTTAGATAAAACATTGTAATTGAAATAGTTTTCAGAAAGCGATGAATCTGTTAATTTAATTAAAGTATTTTCTTCTGCTATTTAGACACTCAAATATTTAGATTATTTTAATATGATTTTTGCTGGAGATTAGACAAATGGGAGTATATTTGCTTTTAAATATAATGAACAAACAAAAATGTTTGAATTATTTATGCAGTTTAAAGCATTAATAGATTAGATTATATTAGATATATTTGTGACTCCACTATCTAAAATGCTATTTATTTCTGGCATCTACTCAAGCATATTTTTTGATATGTCTCAGTGCTTAACTAATAAATAATCATGCCTATCATGTTCTCTATAATTTTATTTTTCTAACAGCTAGACATTATATAATTAACAAAGCAGCTATGGATAGGGTTAGCTAGACTATCCGTATACAACTTATTAAAGCATGATTTAGTCTTTTTTAATAGTAATATTATTAAATGTAAAAAATGATTCTAAAAATTTTATAATAAAATATTAACTAGACCTAGAGATACAAAAGAACAGTGCTTAATGTTTAATATATTTAAACAATTATTAATGTTAGTAATGAGTACCCAATAGAGCTATAATAATATATATTCTAGTTTACCTTTTCAAATTTAATATAGCTTTAAATATAACCTTACTATACTAAAAGCACTTAACCATCTACTATTTTACTGAAAGGAGATTTCTCTTTTGAAAATTTTTACTCTATCTACCTTACTAATGTTATTCTAATGTACAACGTTACTGATGATGCTAATTGTTCTTTAACATTTTATTCTGTGTATCAATAAGTTGTGTTAAATAATATTAAAATTTAAAACACTAATTAAAATAGCTATACAGATTACTGTAATAAGATAAACTTAGTAAATTCTTATCTTTTGATCGAAAATATAACTTTAGATTCTAA